TGGTGCACCTCGCAGTGCTGCCATCTTCGGGGGTCCCCCATGTGGGGGTCACCTCGGGCCCTCTCCTCTCCGCGTTACCCATGTGCAGCCCCTGTGCTCTGCTCAGCGTCCTGCTCAGGGTGCGGCCCTGGGGCTCAGCTGCTGGCACCTGCACCTGTACCCTCTGCTGTCCCCTGCCTTCCACGATTGCTGTCAGCAGTTTTGCACCTTCTTAGTCACTTCAGCTGCGGCAGGGACGAGCCCGAGCCCCGGGCCGGGCAATCTCAGTGTGGTGTCTTTGGCCTGGTGCCCAGGGTGGTGGTACTGGGAGGTGCTGCGAACCTGGAAGGGGTGGGGTCCAGGGGGAAGGCCCTTGAAGGGGCCAAGAGGGTCCCCGCTCTCTCCCCACCGAGTCTTCCTGGCTTCAGATGTGTGCATGCGCTGCCTCAGACCGGTGAGGCTGCCTGATCTTGGACCTGACCTTCAGAACTATGAGCCCAAATAGACCTCTCTCTGCTTCAAAAGCAGCCTGTGTCAAGTATTTTGTTATAGCGATGCAAAGCTGACTAATACAGGAACCAATTTAAACAAGTGAGAAGATTCCATTTCAACATTAATCTCCCCACTGCTCTTAAAAAAACCATGGCTTTCACCCTGTGGACAGTTCCATTCATCTTCTCCGTAGGCTGCTGTTTTCCTCATTTCTGTGAATCCCAAAGTCTCTACCTTTGCCTCATAAAAAAAGGAAAGACAAAGTGAATGGATGGTGTAAATCTTCTCACAAGTCCAGACTTTCACAAGTCCAGCTCACATTCAAGTCAGCGATCCCACCACCACCACCAAATTGGTACTTCTGAGGAGCAGGTGAGAGCCAGGGATAGAAAAACCCTGTTGTGATCTGTACGTGCATCAGAGTGTACGTAAGAACACTCTAGAAGCTTTTCTGACCCAGCGATTGTCCCATGGATCCGCCAGACTAGGTTAATCATACGGTCACCAGCACGCAATTCCAAGAGCAGACGCCCTGAGGGGTTTGCTCTGATGTGGTTGTCTGAGTCCAGTCAGAAGCTACACATTTTCCCGTGGCCTCTGGCTGGAGAACCTTCAGTGGCCAGAAAGATTACTGAAAGAAAGTTCAAAGAGGAGCAGGACACTTCATCACGTGTGTCAGGGCCGTCGTCTGGTCTGTATCCTGCCCCACCCTGTTTGGGATTCCAAGTGAGAGGAGCATATCCAGCCTCAGTGGGGATCTCAGTGGGGTTTGCAGATGCACATACACAGAGGGTCCCTGGTATATAAGAAAAGAATGAAGATGGGGGTGGTGTGACCTGGGCCCACTGCAAAGTACGTTTCCCACTCAGGCAACCTCTTTCCAAAGTGGAGAACTTGGAGCTGGTCACACACAGCGCCACATGGCTCTGCCTGAGGCCTGGCAGTCCATAGTTTCTGGCTCAAGCTCCAGGTGCATGAAGTGGAAGACATCACAGCCAGTTGCCCTGGGTGTCAGTTATCTCATCTGGGTAGATGGGCTCTTTTCAGTAGCTCGGAAGTTTCCTGATGGAGTTGGGGCCCAGGACAAAAGGCCTTAAGTGAGCTTGATGGCCACTCTGAGCTGGCCCCGACTGAGTGGCCCTTGGTGCCTTATCCCATGCCTGGGACCACACCCTTCTGTACATTCCCCTCCTCAGTTTGTAGCTAAGTTGTCTGAGTGGCACAGGGCAGCCTGCCATTCGCCGTCCCTGGCTGCCACCTGCATTTGCTCTGTGGGCTTGGCTTCCTGAGACTCCGCTGTGATCACTCGGGTGCTGGAGTCCTGAGGCCTGTGGAGTGAGACAGAAACAAGGACAGGAAATGCCCACCTGAGCCCAGGGGTCCATGAGAGGTGGTCATACTAGACCCCCACACCCCAAACTCCACTCCTTGTCCACAGCAAGTAGCCCCCCCCCCCGTCCACGCTGGTGGCCATGTCCCCTGTGTCTTCTTCCTACAGTCTCACCCAGTTCTTCACATTCAGAGGCCTCTCCGCATGAGCCTGGGTCCCCAGCTGGGCCAGCGGGGAGCCAGTGACATCTGCACCTCTCCTGTCTCCTTAGCACGCTTTGTTGAGTCCCACGCATTTTTCCAGGTGTTCCTGAGAAATATATGTTGCTCATTTTTAACTGTTATTTTAAATGTTGATATCGATTCTCTTCAGAGATTTAGAGAGCATAATTCAATGTCTGAGTTTCATTTTTAGAGATACCACACAACTAGGAATAGACAGACACTCCCGTGACTTTATGACAGCTGTTACGGAGTCACCCTTTGGCATCTCCGGGGGACCCATTTCAGCCCTCTTCAAAGCAAAATCCAAGGAGGCCCAAGTCCCTTATGTCAAGTGGTGTGATACTTGAATGGAATCCATGCACATCCTCTTGCATACTCTGAATGTCCTCTAGGTTACTTATAATACTTAATATAACATGTGCCATTAAAGAGTTGCTACCGCCATTATTTAGGGCATAAGGACAAGAAAAAGTCTTGTCATTTATGACTTGAGGTTGGTTGAATCTACAAATGCAGAACTCATGGATACACAGGGCCAAAGTGTGTTCTAAAGGTCTGTAGCAACTAGGGCACAGGAAGACATTTAGACTCACTCCTCTCACTGTGACCAGGCTGGGTGAGGAGCGCTCCTCACCTTTACTGTTTGTGGAGCTTAATAAAGTCCCTATTTGGATCTTGCTCAAGTAATAAGGAATAAAAATGACATAAGGCCTGTCAGGGTCTGAAAAACAAGTTGTTTATTAGTATTAAAATCCTGGTTATTTGCAGATGATAACTATATATATATATCCTAACAGATCAACAGACAAAACAGTAGAACTAACGAAGAATTTAAGCAAGGTTTCTGGATACAAAGATGCTGTCAGCTTCTCTCAAGGTCAGCAACAACTAACTAAAAAGTGTCACAGAGGCAAGTCACCCAGTTTGTGAGCACACCAGAGTCCCTGGGGCGACACACCCAGTGGCTTGTGTCTCCTTGTCCCGTGTTCTGTACTTTTCATCCTCTGCCCTGTGCGTCTCTTCTGCTTGGTCCTTACTGGGTTTTATTCTTACAGCAGGCTGGCAGATGGACTAAAGCTAAAGGCTGTAAGTACTTTATCTAGAATGTGTTAGTTACTTTTTTTCTCATTGCCGGGACAAAATACCCAACATCCAAAGTTAAAGGAGGAAAGGTTTACTTAGCTCACAATTTGTGGAGGTTTCAGTCCATAATCTGCTGGGTCCAAGGCAGGGTGGCGTGGTAGAAGAGAGAACAAACAGCCAGAACAAAAAGGAGGCGCACGAGAGAAGCCTCTTTCCCAGCCTTACCTCGGATGTAGGCCACACACCCCAGGGTGGGTGCAGGACTCACACCCGTCATCCCAGCGCTGGACCATGAGTTGATCACAAACTCTAGAAGCCTGCACCGTTGAATATTTGAGGCTTTGGGGGGACATCCAGACACAAAACATAACACAGAAACTGGGGCTTTTAAAATTCAGTTTTGGGGCTGGAAAACAGGCTCCTTTCTTTGTACGTGGTCTTGTGAAAGAACCACTACTTTCAGTTCTACTGCAATTCCAAGGATTGAAGCAATAGCAGAATTACCCTGGCCCTTGGCTTCAAACAATTCCAAACCAGCTGTAAATATGTAAGCCCTCTGTCGGCCTTACCTGATGATGAGACACTGACAGCCAAATAAATTCTCTTTGTAGAAAAATGAATGATCGTATATGAGCAAATGTACTGTAAAATGTTAATGTTAAAAGTGTACTATAAAATATTTCATAGGAACTAGTTCTTAGTGAAAAATGACTAAGAAAAAAACCACAAAAACCTTGCAATTTGCAATAGCAAAAACCTAAAAGTCATAGTGGAGTCAACCTAACCAAGACTACACAGGTCCTTTTTAGGGGGTAATTAAAGATTCTGCACAGGACACAAAAGGAGTCCTTACTCCCTGGGAGCCCGGCCGCGTGGATGGATGAGGCGACCTAACGCGACCCGGCCCCCACTCTTCCTGATTCAGCTGTGCGTCAGATGTAGTTCTGATCAGATCCGACTGGAGATGCTGAGGAAATCAACAAGCTCATTGTGAAGTTTGTGTAGAATCAAAGTTTGTGTGCACACTCGTTCCCCATTTGTATGCAATCCAGGCCCCAGAGTGACGGCCTGGGGGTGGGGAAGGTGATTAGGTGGTGAAGATGGAGCCTCATGAGTGAACTCTGGCCCTCACAGGACGCCCCGGGGCTGCCTGGCCCTCCAGCTGTGGAGCAGTGGTGAGCCGGGAAGCACCTCGAGCTTGGACTTCCAGCCTCTAGAGCTGTGAGAAACAGTCTCCCATGGTTCCTGAGCCACCCAAAGGGACCACAGTTCACACACAGCTGCATAAACTGCAGCAGTGTGTTTGGTAGCTGGGAACCCGTGTACGCCGCTGCAGGAAGAGACACAGGCTCAGACTTCGGTCCCTCTCCACGGACACTGCCCGAAAGCCTCACGGAGAGAAGGAAGCAGAGGGGGCAGCATGGTCAGCCCACCGGTGTTCACACCAAGAGCACAGCTGCAGGGCCGAGGCCCCCACACCCCAGCTGAGCATGCCTCTCGGGCCTTACGGAGAGGCCAGCGGCGGGCACGGGAGGAGGGGAAAGGAAGTGGCACAAATACGCCAGGGCTTCACGTGTCTGCATTTTTTAAAAGCTGAATTCTCAGGAGTATGGTTGCAGTGCAAATCGCTGGAGCCTAGGTTTAAACAAAGAAATACGTACTTAGCCGAGCAAGTTCTAGGTTTTCTAATAAATTCATGAAATCGTTTCTTCTTATATAGAGGACAGATTAATACATAGGGGAAACTGGGTTTTAATTCAGGGGAAATGATCTTAATTCACATAGTGTCTCAGATCTCATGGTGAGTTCTTGAAGATTTATAAAATAACTAAAAATTGAAAGGAAAAGTGGCTGCATGTTGTCTAAGCTCTGCATTCTCTTTTCTTTTCTAGTGTTGGGGTCAAATCCAGGGCCTGGCAAATGTTGGTCCAGCGCAGTCGCTGACTGCTGTCTCACCCCGTGAGGCTGTGTTAGCAGTGGATGGAGCGGACACCAAGATGCCTCCACCCCACACGTGTCAGGAGCGGCGTGCTCGGCTGTGATCCTTGTGTGTGTAGCTCTTTTGTGCTCTTGGTCACCAAGCCCCACAGATGCGCTCTGCCTTGTGGTGAGCTGGCTGCGCTGCAAACCCACCGCGAGCTGATATTTCAAAGACAGACTTAACACACGCAGCCCACCAAGCATCCTAGCTTCGCCTGCCTGAATGTCTCCAGAGCATTGCTCAGCACGCAGTTGGCGGTGGTATCACACCCGGAGCCCATTGTGTAAATTGACTCTCTCGTGTGACGTACATAGCACTTGTAGCCCAGAAATGCTTGCCAGCTGGCACGCTGTGGAACTGGTTTTTCCCTAGTGATGGTGGGGCTGACTGGGAGCTGCAGGTGCTGCTGCCCGGCGTCGGAAGAGAGGATCTGACCCCATATTGCTAGTCTGGGAAAAGAGCCAGATTCAAAATTCAAAACTCAAAGCAGGATGTTGTGCATCACTAAAAAGCTGAAAAAATCGCAAGTGGGACCATTATAAAGCCGGGACAGCCTGCGTTTCCACTGCAGGGGTGAGGCTCAGAGAGGGAGGTGAGGCTGGGCCCGAGCTGCTCACAGCGGCTGGGCTTTGAACACAGCCCAGGCCCAGCTTCTTCCCGCCTGCAGAGGAGGATCAAGGCGGCTGCATCACAAAGCCACACGCAGCCAAGGCCGAGCCACAGGTGGGAAGCGCGAGTGCCACCGAGGTGAAAATGAACCTAGGTACAAGGCTGAGTGCTCAGAGAGCGTGGAGAAGGGTTTTACTTAGAAAGAAACCAAAACGGCACACGAATGTTGCAAGAACGGCTTCACTTTGTAAGTCACTAAAAAGATGGCGAGCACGAATGCGTTATGCATTATCATCTCCGTTATTAGGCTACAAAAACGCACGTGGTGCCTTGGGGCAGGCTGGCAGAAAGCACGCACACGGTCACCCTATCCGCGAACCTGAGGCGCAGTGCAGACCCACGCCACGGATGGCACCAAACCCCGCGTTCACTGCTCTCCCTCTTGCATTCACAACTCTCTGGCAATTAGACATATTAAGGAATAGACAGCAACCACTAACACAGCGGCACAGTTACAACAGTGTGCTGTAACAGAAGTCATTCAAGGCCTCAGAACTGTTATTTGTGGAATTTTCCAGGTAAGAGTTTCAAACCGCCATTGACTGCAATTAACTGACTCCCTGGAACGTGACTGCAACAAGGCGGCCTGCTGGGTGAGGAGGAGGCGCCTCACGGTGGGGCCAGAACCGGGCAGTGGCTCCCTCTGTCCCCAGGGCCTGCGTGTGTTTGAGGAGCTGTCATTCTCTCCACATAAACCCGGCCAGTGGCAGAGCCAGGTGAGGGGCTCTGCACCACGCAGGAGGAGGCTGAGGCAGGAGCAATCTGAACCCTCAGCGTGCCGAGTGCACCATCGGGGAGGCCGCTGCTGCCGTGCTCCTCTTGGGGCTTCTGCTCTGTCTCAGCCCAGCCCCATCCTCCAGGGTGGGTGGGCTTCCTGCCAGGCCTTCAGGCTGTGGAAACTCATGCGTGGTTCTCTGGTTTCCTTGTTGGATTTTTCCGACTATAACTTCTAAGACAGGAACAACGTGCCCCTCCACATCCCCTCCAGGGGTCACCTCTTCCCTGAACTGATCAGGAAACGCAGGGCCAGGAGCAGGAGTACTCAGGTGACTGTGGCCTGGCGTGGTGTCAAGCACTCGGAGCTTAGGGCCTTCGGATTCCTTTTTCCCTGAGAGTCGGTCGGTCAAGTGCAGACGCCTCTCTCGGGCTGGGGTCACTAAGTCCACTTAGTGGTGCTGTTATCTCCTCAGACATGGGGAGCTCTGTGGGTTTTTCACACGTACTCAAAGGAACCGACGGCAGAATGACCAGGATTCAGGACCAGGATACGAGACGAGCAGGTTCTAAAGATGCCAGACACGTTGTCCAGGGCGGGTCCTGTGTGCGTCGTCCCTTAGCTGTGAGAAGAGCTGGACATGCCAGGCATGGGGCTGGCCACTGCGCATCTGTCACTCCTATGTCAGTCCTCACCACTGTGCTGCACGCCAGGGGTCACCGCTGCCCTGAATGGACGAGGAAAGGTGGGTTACAGTCCCCACAGGACACCCTCCAGGTACCCGGCTCCAGCCACATGACCTCATCAGGACTCAGAGGCCGCTGTGGCCTGGCAGATGCTGGCGCTGGTGCTTAGGACATTCCTGGCTGGAAGGGGTGCTGTGGGGCCTGCTGCTCCCCTGCTTCAGCATCCTTCCCCAAGGTCTTCTCTGCTCATGGCTCAGGGTAGAGGATTTGCATTTCTAGCTAAAACAGAGACAGCAGCCTGACCGAAGGTGGCCTTGCTGTGCCCCTGAGATCCTCCCCCTGAAGCCTCAGTGCAACGGCATCTCCAGCGAGCCTGCACCTGGCTCGGAGGCAGAGCATGGCCCCAGCACCCCATGCTGAGCTTTGGGGTGATCTCCACTGCCAGACCATCCCTGACAAGTGCACTCTGAAGGTGCTGGTGGGACTGGTTGCCTGTTACCGAGAACCCCAAAAGACCCTTAATTGGGAAGCCCTTTGCCCACCTGACATCCCACATCCAGGTCCAGTGTGCAGTGTCCTTCTCCCCGTCTGCTCTGCGTGCTTCTTGCTAGCTTGCTAGTGGATGTGAATATTTTCCCAAACCATCATGCTGGGTCTAGAGTTTTCTTTCCTGGAACAATGGAGAATTGTGGTCAAATTTAGGACATTTAATCTCTCTCCTGAAATCCTGACAAAAATCCTCCCAGGGTGACATCCAAACCTCAGGCTGGCTGAGTTCCGCCCCCACCCGTCGCCAGCCACAGCCCTCAGGCAGCCGCACACCCAAGGCCTCAGCCCCGCGCTCCCTCATGGTCATGCGCTGTGACACCTGCCTGCCTTGGCACAGGTGCCCGCGAAGCGGGGCCCTGCAGGGACCGATGTGTGCTTGTTCCCTCCCCCCTTGCTTATGTGACCAGGAGATGAGACATTTTTGTGGTCCAGGGACAGAAGTAGGAAGGTAGCTTTTCGGAGCAACCTTCACAACCAGCTTACCTCCGCATGACAGAGGGTCTCTGAAGCGGAAGGGGTGGCTGCAGCCGAAAGAGCATCATGGTGGTCTCTTCCTGTTTCTCCCTGCTCCTGGAGCTCTCTGCAGCCTGAGGAGGCAGGGTCCAAGCTCGGGACCAGGCCACGCGGCTTGGTGGCCCATGTGCCTGGGTCCACGGCAGGGCCACCTTGCTGAATGGATGGTGGTGCACAGGCCGGAAGCTGCCCATACCTCTGCCCATGCTTCCCAGTGGACAGCACTGTGTGGAAGTGACCAGTCTGGCTGGTTGCTGCCCTCACAGAAACAGTCAAAGAGGGGCGTCTGCTGGATGGTGGGCCCACGCGCCTCTCCTGGGCTTGGCAGCCAGCCCCACTGCGGACCTGGCATCCTTCTCTACCTTTCTCTGTGGACCCTTCCTGATGAGCCCCTCTTTCTGGCACCTGTCCCTAGTGGGTGCCTCTCTCTTTCTGCACCTGCGCAGAATGGAGGGCCCTGGGGTTCTGGAGTTCTCGTGGTATTACCCGCGATCGCCCACAAGGGGAGCTGTGGCGCTCTCCCGGCCAGACAGACCAGATTGAAGAGGGGCCTGAGTGGGGAGGGCCCCGTGGTTGCTGTGGGGCTACACATCCGGGGATTTAACCAGCCATGGAGTATGCAAGAAACGGCATCTTCACTGAACTTGCTCAAAGCTTTTCTTGTTCTTTTCCCTCTGTCAGTGGTGGAGAGCCTACGGCCTGAGCGCCCCAGCGGGCTGTTGTAGCCCTACCCTGCCCAGGATAATAACTCTACACAGCACTCACACTGTGTTAGATATTTTGCATTATCTAGAGGTGCTGTCAAGTGCTTGGAGGACAGGTTAAGGTATGTGCAAATATATCATTTTATACAAAAGACATGAGCATCTGCAGATTGGAACATCTGCAGGTGGGTCACAAAAGCAATTCCCAGATACGGAGGGATAAGTGTATTTTATGGGGGTCGCAGAGAAGGCTGGGTTGGGTATTGAAATGACACCGGAAGGAAGAGAGGAGGAAGTCACGTGGCACCTGGTGGAACCGAGCCTCAGGCAGATGGGTGGGAATGCACCTGGCCTGTTTAAGGAAGAGCGGGGAAGCCGTGGAGGGCTTGGGGAGCAGAACGAAGGGGATAAAGATGCCCTGGACTGCATACAAAACAGGCTCTGGACTGCAAGGGGCCCAACAGACTGAGGGAGCCGGGCTGCCACGAGCCCTTCCCTCTGGTCGAAAGGTCCCTGGTAGAGAGCGCCTGCTTGGGAGAAGCGCTGGCCAGCGCCGTGCCGGGCTGGTTGCTCTGGTGCCTTCCACACCCTTGCATCTGGACTCCCTGCTTCTGCTCCTCTCTTGGGGAGCCTTGAAGACTGTTTGATGAGGCCCAGACCCATAACCCTCATCCACAGCGCTGTCTACTCTGAACACACCCTGGCCACTTCCTGAGGGTCAGACACACGTGAGCTCATGGGCCATCTGGATGTCCTACCCATGCAGGCCTGCAATTCCCTTCTCCTGGGTAACACAGCCAGCTTGTCACCCTGTAATCCCTGCCTGTTAAGATACGGAAACCACCCACAGGCTTCAGCTCCTATGCCAGTCCATTATGGAGTTTTTGCTTTTCTGGAGAGAGATGCCAGCTGTTCCTGGAGGTCCAGTTCACACAGCTCTTCCCTGGGGACCCCTGGAGTCTGTCTGAACTGGGTGAAGTGCTGTGGTTGTAGGGTCCACCTCTCTGGTCAGCAGAAGCCTGGGCTGTTAGGATTCATGGCTGCAACTGCAACTCAAGGCAGCTCTAGGACTCACTCAGCAAGTTCCTGAGACTTGGAGACTTGGTAGACAGACACTGCCTTCCCACGGGTCTGGAGGTGCTCCGAGTCCACGGTCAGAGTACCTGTGTGTTGGAGATCTGGTGAGGGCTTCTCTCCACTGCCAAGATGGCACCCTGTAGCTGTGTCCCCTGGGTGGGCAATAGAAGGGTCAAGGAACACTGGGGTTCCTCTTCATTTATCACACTGGCTGTCTTAGTTACTTTTCTTTCATTGCTGGAGCAGAATACCTGACACCCAACATGAAGGAAGCAGACGTTTACTTAGCTCACTGTTTGTGGAGGCTGCAGTCCATAATCAGCTGGCTCCAAGGCAGGGTGGCGTGGCACCGGGGCAACACTTCAAGACAGCAGCCAGCAAAAGCAGCCAGAGCAAAAGAGGGAAGAACAAGCCTCTTCTCCTCCCTTGTATTGTATGCAGACCTCCCCCTCTCCAGGGCAGAGGTAGCACTCACCCATCTCCGTGCCCTCCTCTTGCACAGGCTGAGGATATTACAAAGTAGGAATGTGGCTGGCTGCTGAGTCTCTTAGTTCAGCTTCTTAACTGCTCAGTTCAATGCAGTGTATCAACCGTAACACTGACCACTCAGCTCCCACCCCTGAAGTGGGGATGAGTGACATTCACAGCATAGCACTCTGTCCCGTTTCCCAAATGTATGGCCTCATTTGCAGAATGTATTTATTCCATGCTAATAGCTCCTAAAATCTCAAATTTTTTGTGTCAGTTTATAACTACAGTTCAGAGTCCTATCTATATTGGAAGTGAGAGACTCCAGTCCCGGTCTGTCCTGAGCGAATCCCCCTCACTGTGAGGGAACAGGAGTGTGGCTGCGCCCAGAACTCTGCTGCTGCCAGGGCCGGTGCGCCCAGACCTCGCCTTCCACCTCTCCCTATCCCAGGCTGCTGCTCACTGCAGACCTGTTCCGTAGCCTCTTCCTCAGGGCTTTTGTTCAGCTCAAGAGCACCGCGGATGGACACTAGCTGGCCTTGTGTAGGCCACATGCAACCTGTAGCAGGAGTAGGGCACCGCTTTGGACTGGCGGCTCCCCTCCTGGCCAGAGATGACCAAAGTTTTCCCTACTCGGGTGAGGTGTGGGCAAGGCTTGGCGCATAACTGCCAATGACACCTCTGCATCCAGGCTCCCAGGCTCGTGCCCGAGACCCTCCTCACAGCTGTCCAGATGTGGGGAAGGACAAAGAAATGCACCTGTCAACCATGGTCATTACATCTACAGGCAGCGATCATCCACCCGCCATGTAGAACCTGTGTCCAGTGTGTTCAATCAACAATTCTCTTCCCACAGGAGCAGTTACTCCCATCCTCTACGTAGAGAAACTGAGGCACAGAGGCCTAAAGTGACTCTGAAGATCACCAGCCTAGCTGGTCTGCTGGGTTGGAAACTTGGCCTTTTCCTCCCAAAATGTTATGACCATGGACAAGTCCAGACAGGAAAAGAAGATTCTCCGAAACACAATGCAATGGAAACAAAACAAAATGTGTAAATATAAGAAAAGCAAAATAAATCAGCCAGATGAAGTGAACTGATATCTTTCACAGTCAAAGACGGCACCACTGCAGGAAAAGAGCCACCACTGTGCCACCATGTTAGAAGTGGAGGGCTAGGGAGACTTGGCTGACAGAATAAGCCCCCCAGGATGACCAAAGGTCCAGGACTCCAGGTGGGCGGTGGGAAGCCACACGGGTGGGGGATGCGTGAGGAAGGGGTCCAGCCTCTCCTCTCCACCAGGGCTGGGCCGAGGAAGGATCATGCCAGCCGGCTCCGGGCTCTGCATCTGGGCGTCCTGTGCCCAGGCTGGTGCCTGTAGGAGCTGTGGCTGGCAGAAGGTCTTTGACGGCACCCTGCTTCCCCAGCCCCTTCTCACAGCTGTCTGCCAGCCATGGCAGATGCACCTGCAGGTGTGTGGTTCAAGGCCCTGTCAAACTGTGGCTGCTCCCACAGCAGACAGGATGCCACAGTCCGCCCTGAGCTGAGAGGATGCACTGCCCACATCCTCCCTCGCCTGGGACCTGGGGAGGGGGCTCTGTCTCAGGTCCAGCAGGTGAGCGTGCTGCAGCCCTGGGGTCGGCCTGCCCGCTCCAGCCAGGAGCTCCAGGCCTGGAAGCTGCTGAGCTGGGAGCTGGGAGCAGCTGGGCCTGGTGTCTGAGAGCTGTGTCTTCTCAGGAGTTGCAAACAAGGGATGCGCGTGTTGTTGCTGGGATACGGCGGAGCCCCAGGAAGCTGGGCCAGCTGCTCGCTGGCAGTGGCATTGATTTTACCAAGGGCTGTATGTGTCTGGCCCTGCGGAGCCCGCGTCTGGGCAGGCTGGGGTCTGTGAGCCGGGCCTGGCTGCCAGGGGCCCTGAGGATACGGCTGTGAAGTGAGCCTTGAAGGTCATGTCTCTTGGGGACTGCCATGCTCAAGGCCATGGCCCTGTCATGTGGTGCTTTTGGGGCGCTGTGGCCCTGGTGGAGCCCACCTTCGGGGGTGGGGTACAAAGCCAGGTGAGGTCGGTGCTGAGAAGGCAGTGGAGGAAGGGAAGCAGCTAAGCTCTAACGTCCTACAGCGCGGTCCACAGGGACTGGAGGTTTGATTAAAATCCAGGAGAGAGGCATCCGGGGCTCCAAACAGAGGAATGCCATGTGTTTCAGCAGATCAACTGCTGGTCATCGGTTTGAACATTACACACATCACATGCAGGCACGAAATGATCACACAGTATCCCACAAACACCAGCAGGCATCTTGTGTCACTTGAAAAAATGTGGGGCAGAGGAAAAGTCCCGCGGTGGAGGAGATCAGCGGTGACCTCGGACAGCTGCCGTCCCCTGGCGGAGCCTGCTTCTCATCTCTAACGTGGGGTGGGGAAATAGTTCAGACCTCGGAGGGCAGTTGAGAGCCTGCAGTGAGGTAGAAGATGAGGCTTCTAGGACATCGCAGGTGCTCACCGGGGCAGGGGCCGAGTCACATCCTCCCTGAGCGCCTGCATTTAAGTTGCACCCAGGACCTCGCCATGGCACTCGGAGATGGGCCCTGAGAGAGGACTGGTTCAGGTGAGGTTGGTGGCGCCCTTGCGGAGACTCAGGCACACATGGAAGGAGCCCACGGGGCCGCTGAAAGAGGACAGCACCGGCACCCAGGCCTGGCCTCGCGGTGGGGGTCTGGGGTGGTGGGAGGGCCCTAAGCTCTGTGCTCTGCGGCCTGTCGTAGGCTCCAGCACTCTGGTCCTGCTTGGGCTGAGGTCTGTGCTTGCTGTGTGTGAGTGGACTTTATTCCTCTATCCCTCCCTCCCTTTTCCCTTCCCCTCCCTCCCTTCCCCTCCCTTCCCCTCCCTCTCTCCCCCCCTCCCGCTATTTCCCTGCAGCACAGCACTGAAAGCTGCAGCCTTGCAGGCTGCCCTGGGCGCACAGGCAAGATTTTTCTCACCAAGGCAGGGATGAACCTCCTTGGGGGCATGTAGAGTGTTAATTTTAATTTTAATAGATTTTCCGTTCACACTCATCACTCTAACGACCTCCCGAGACCCCAGGAGTCTGCCGCAGCGGTCTGTGCCCTCACACCTGAGGCGCAGGACCGAGTCTCCAGGGCACAGAGCAGAGGTGAGGGCCGGGCACTCCCACAGCCGCTGTCGCAGCCGGGACAGCCGGGGCCAGGGAGAGGGAGCCCCTACCTCTTCTCCCCCTCTGCCAGGACACGCTGGCTGAGAACTCAGAAGAGGAGCGGTGCCGCTTTTTCCTCCCGACTTCCAAGTATCAATCCTGGATCCTAGGACAAAGACACGGGGACTCCCAGGCCCGACCCAAGGGGGCCGGGCTCTCCTTGCTCCCTGTCCACTCCCAGACACCCCAGGGGCTGCAGGGCGGGCATCCCCGCCCCCAGGGAAGGATTTAAGGCTCCGAGTGACGAAGGCCCTCCAGGCTTGGTCCTGGAGCCACAGCTCTGCCTGTGCGCCCGCCCTGCCAGCCTTTCCGGCTCTCTCCTCTGCCGGGCAGGGATGGGCTAGAGAGCCGGGGGCAAGGATCCCAGGTGGAAGGGAAGCCCCAGAGGGGTAGAGCCGGCCGGCTGTTGTTCAGGACTGAGGGCCGTGTCCAGAGGGCTGTGAGCTGGGGCTAAAGTGGGAGGGTGGGGAAGAGGCCCAGTCTCCAGGCGGAGCTGGTTTTCTGGTTGGTTCTCTGGGCTCCGGCCAGTTGCTGGGTGTCCAGAAGTGGCCTGGACACACTTCTTTGGGCATTTAGAGGCAGAGCAGACAGTTGCCATGTGAAATCCCTCAGGGCCAGTTGCTAGGGCACAGGCTGAGTGGCATTTGTCTCCTGACTGTCCCCAAGGCTGACATCCCTGATGGAGGGTCGGCAGCCGGTTTCTTCTGAGCTCTCTGTGCTCAGCCATGGAGGGCCACCTTCTCCCCATATCTCGCCAGGCCCCTCTCGGGGTTCGGTCTGCCCATAGCTGTCTCCTGACATGGACTCGGGTCCTGTTGCTTTGGGGTGGCCCTGTGTGACCTCATTTCCTCGCTGTCCCTTCCTGAAGGACTCTGCCTCCAAATAACCCACTTTCCGGGGCACTGGGGCTCAGCATCTCCAATACGAATCTGGAGCGAGGCGTCATAATTTAGGCTACAGCACCCCTGATAGCTAACCGTTGAGCTTCTTTTTTGAAATGTGAAAGTTCTGTAGGGAACAAAGCAGCCCTTCCTGTGCTGCCCGTGCTTGGGGATGGCCTGAGGGACTCACCTCAGGCACGACCTTGAACCCAGCACCACCCAGAGCACCGTGTGTGACCAGGAGCAGGGGCTGCAGCTTGGTCTGCTGGGTGGACTGCTGCAGAGCCCCTCCTGGGGCTGCGGGTTGGGCAGGGCAGGACAAGGGGTGTCTGCGGAGGGGAGAGGGGTGTCCCTCCCTGCAGACCTGAGCAGGCCCCGGAGAGGGCTGGAGGGGCAGGGATGGTTGGCCATTGCTGGACAGAAGATGGCGTGCCAGGCACTAGGAGTCCATGCATGACGCCCCTCGTCTGGGTCTTGGTGGTCCCTGAGGTCTGCGCAGGACCCCAGTGGTGGACTTTTGGGTGGGTGGGAGTCTGGCGCCACGTTCATGCGGGAACAGAGTGGAGCTGGAGGGTGGGGGTTGGGGGCAGCAGCAGGATGAGCAGGTGATAGAGCCGCCGCCGTCCCCTGCCCACCTTGGCTCCTGGGCTGCACTGAGTCTTGGGCCAGGTCAGGTGTGGGGCTGGGCTGGGCCCAGGGGGGCACAGGAAGAATGCGAGGCCCAGGCTGTGCCTGTGCAGACGGGCAGGGCCTGGGCATCCTCGGGGAAGATGGGAGCCAATTGTCACTGCAGGACAGGCTGCCTGGCCAGGGAGGGGGCCCCGCTCTTCCTGTGGGGTGGTAGGGGTGGCAGGGCTGGCTGGGCTGCAGGCCTACCCTGGCCAGCAGGCGATGAAGGGGAGGGCCCAGTCCAGCAGCGCAGGCTCAGTAAACAACCGGTGGTGCTCTGGGCACCCTTGAGTTTCAGGCCCTAGACCCTGGGGGTGATGCCGAAACCTGACCCATTGGTAGCACACACCTGTGTGTGTGTCTGCTGTGGACGGGGCCAGTGGCCCTCATACCTGTGCTGAGGCCTGGACAAAGGACAGAAGGCCTGTGGCTCCCAGGAGCTGGCCTGGTGGGGATACATCCTACCTTTCACCAACAACTGTGTGGCCGGGACGAGGAAGGCTCTAGAAGAGACGATTCCGAGCAGTGCATCGGAGGAGAAATGGCACGGGATGACGAGACTGGCAGGGCACAGGCAGCAGCTGACCAGGCTCCTCTCCAGGTGGACCTGGGCTGTAAGCGTCCCATGGCCAGGTCAGCCTTTTCATCTCTACTTTTTGTTTTGAGACAGGTTTCTCCAAGTCACTATGGTGCCCAGGCTGGGCTCAGACTTGGGATCCTCCTGCCTCAGGCTGCCAGCATGCTGGAATTGCAGGTGTGCACCACCACACCTTCTCTCTCACATTTATAAGGTTACTAGTGCCATTATGAGGCCCTGTACCCCCATATAACCCTAATTACATCCTGGTTAGACTGCCTCCATGATCAAGTGCCCTTGGGGAGTAAGCTTCTAGTACTGAACTCTGTGTGTGTGTGCAAACCACAGCGAGTCTCCTTGGTCGCTCATGGTCACTTTGCATCTGTATCCTCACCTCTTCTCAGTACCTATCGGTGTCCAGTCCGGACCATTTGTCACCTTTCAACCTTGGTCACGTCTCTTTGGGATGACTGCAGGCAGCGGTGTGGTAGGGATGATGCTGCGTTCTCAGATCTCTGGGGAACTACTTCCTGGGCCCCTTCACCTCTGTGCTCCTTGCTGTGAGTGTAGGGGGGGGGTCTCCAGCGGCCACCTGCTGTGTGCGTCCCTCTGACTGGCGAGACCCATGGAAAAGAGCCCTGGCTTCAGGCTGCCAGCTGGTGCTGCAGAAAGGAAGTCGCACCCGTGGCCTCCTTGACCACCTTGGGATGGGGCAGGAGCCCTTTCTGTGAAGCCCCTCTTGTGGTCTTCAAAAGGAA